CCGTGGCGTGAGGTCCCCGGTGCCCCGTCCACTCCGTCTCAGCCCGACGGCCGCGTCTTGGGAGGAGCGCCGTGACACGCGCGTGACACCTGTCACCTCAGTGTGTCAACCAGGCCACTCAAACGTTACAGGTGGAATATATATATGAACCCCTGGAAGAATGGCAAGCAGTTGGTATGGGACTACACGTGCGTATCAACCCTGGCTAACACCTACATTAACCTCAGTGTTGCACAACCAGGTGGCGCTGCCACCCACAGGGAAGCAGCCAAATCCCGTAAGTATAGAGAACTGGATCACCACTACAATTTTGTCCCCATTGCTTCTGAGACGCTCGGCGCCTGGGGTAAAAGTGCTACCAGTTTTTTGAAGGAACTGGATTCTAGGCTCATTGAAACAACAAGGGACCCGAGAGCTGCAAGCTTTCTTTTCCAGCGCCTCAGTGTGGCGATACAGAGGGGAAATGCGCACTGCATCCAGGGTTCCTGCCCGCCATCTGAGGAGCTGGAGGAACTCGACAACCTATGACAACCATCTTTGTAACCCATATGTAACTCCTTTTTTGTAACAAAGTTCAAATAAAATAAATATATATGTGTACATACAAAAGAATGGGGGTGGTAGGAGAAGATAATATTAGTGTTCAGTGAGAAACCACAAGGTCTCCTCTGAATACTTTTTATTTTCTTCTCCGAGGCTATGGGTCCCCACATTGGCACCAGAGGTGGTACCCTCACAAACTTTTATATATATATATATATATATATATATATATATATATATATATATATATATATATATATATATAATATATATAATATATATATATATATATGTGTTCTTATAGAGTTATCTGCACTGAGCCTTAACTCCTGGGACAAGATTTTATATCTGTTGATATATTAATGCAATTTTAATGACTTGAGGTTATCTTGAGATGATTTCGGGGCTTTAGTGTCCCCGCGGCCCGGTCCTCGACCAGGCCTCCACCCCCAGGAAGCAGCCCGTGACAGCTGACTAACACCCAGGTACCTATTTTACTGCTAGGTAACAGGGGCATAGGGTGAAAGAAACTCTGCCCATTGTTTCTCGCCGGCGCCTGGGATCGAACCCGGGACCACAGGATCACAAGTCCAGTGTGCTGTCCGCTCGGCCGACCAGCTCCCCTCGACTTGCTTGCTACTCTTAAAAACTTTCTAAAGTACTTGTATGTCAGGATCATGTCCCCTCTGTTATCCTCTCATACAATGCCAGGTTTACCTCTTTCAGTTGTGGGACTTGTGGCAAACCTGAAGACTTTATCAATCTTTGTTTTGTACTTCTTGAGCTTAGGGTTTCCTGTTGGTACTGCATACTATATCTTGGTACCTTCGACCTCTCCTCATATCTTAACCCTCTTGGCTCCGGAACTAATCTAGTCGTAAGCATCTACACTATTCACATTCTAGTTTTATGCTTGACAGTGTGGTGATTCCTGGTCGGTGCTGCATACTCCAGTACTGGGCCTGGGGGGGGGGGGGGGTAGAAATAGCCTAAGCTACTCTATCCCTTGTAGATTGTGGTGGTGGTAGATTGTGGTGGTGGTAGACTGTGGTGGTGGTGGTGGTATTAGACTGTGGTGGTGGTGGTGGTGGTAGGCTGTGGTGGTAATAGACTGGTGGTAGTGATGGTAGACTGTGGTGGTGGTAGGCTGTGGTAGTGGTAGTGGTGGTAGACTGGTAGTGGTAGCATCCTGGTAGTGGTAGCAGTCTGGTAGTGGTAGCAGCCTGGTAGTGGTAGCAGCCTGGTAGTGGTGGCATCCTGGTAGTGGTTGCCCTTTTAGTGCCCCAGCTGGGCAAGGCAGCGGAGACAGTGCATCATTAGCCAACATTACCGCTCATCACCAATACTTCTGGGCGCCGCCACACTGTGACGCCACCACCACCACCGCGCTCCCTCACCTCTATACACTAATGACATCTCTCCCACCTTAACAACACCTGCTCGTCCGCTGTGACCCCTAACTGCTGCACTGTGGCCCGTCCTGGACCATTCTCAAGTCGAAACGTCGTCGTCCCTTCACCTTCTAGTGTGTGGTCTGGTCAACATTCTCAAGTCGATTCGATAATAGTCCAGGACTGACCGAAACGTCGTCGTCCCTTCACCTTCTAGTGTGTGGTCTTGTCAACATTAAACAATGAGTATAAGCTCATTAATAAACTCATTATATACTCATGATACATACCTTATCCCTTTGTGTATTGATACCTCAATAAACCTATTTTAAATTGGTATAAATTGGATAAGTTTTCGATTTAGGAAAGACTTGGGTAAATACTGTTTCGGGAACAGGGGTGTTGATTTGTGGGGCCAGTTACCGCATAATAGAAGTAGGATCCCTTGATTGTTTCTAGCGTAGGTTAGACATATATATGAACGAAATTGGATGGATATAAATAGGAGCTGCATCGTATGGGCCAATAGGCCTTCTGCAGGTACCTTCATTCTCGTGTTCCCGTGTGTTGATAACAGATGTGTCTCTCGGATAAATCCACAAGGGCCGTGACGAAGATTCGAACCTGCGTCGATGTGTCTCTCATGAGTATAATTACAGGTGTTGACGTGTCCTGGCAAGCATATTTTTCTCCTGGTATACTGATATATTTTTGGCGGGGTTATTACTGCATGTTCCACGGAGGTGGACATACTTCACCCGCCAGGGGGGGGGGGGTTATCTTGAGGTTATCTTGAGATCAAGTTCAAGTTCAAGTATGTTTATTGAGATAAGCAATAAATACATCTCAAACGGATAGAGTAGCTTAGGCTATTTCTACCCCCCTCTACTTCAAGTCCCTCAAGGGGCGCACAAATTCAGTGAGTACAAATAGACATATAACAGTACAAGAATCCCATTTAACATTGCATACATATCTTGAGATGATTTCGGGACATTAGTGTCCCCGCGGCCCGGTCCTCGACCAGGCCTCCACCCCCACCTCCACAGCTGACTAACACCCAGGTACCTATTTACTGCTAGGTAACAGGGGCATAGGGTGAAAGAAACTCTGCCCATTGTTTCTCGCCGGCGCCCGAGACCGAACCCGGGACCACAGGATCACAAGTCCATCGTGCTGTCCGCTCGGCTCCGGGGTAGTTATCATTAATATGGTGCTAGTGGTGGAGTGGCTCATTGATATGAGCTAGGCAGGTCCTTCTTGCTTTAAAATAGACTAGATTCATTAACAGGTGAATTAGCTTACCTGACAAGGTATAGAGATTAATTGTTGATACACCTGTAGCATCTTGAATATACAGATGATAGTTAGGAATATTTCAGTAACAGGTCATGTAAATTGGCCAATAGGCTTGTAATCTTGTTGAAATTAGTATATAAGGACAGTGAATGTTAATTCTTATGCTGATTAGCATTCTGAAATGTTGGTACATAATTTGGAAGAACATATTTCAATTGTGTTGTACGACTATGTAATGCAAAACTAGGCTAATGTTTTGATTTGAATATCCTGCATTAAGTAGTAGTTTGTTTTATTTGCATAGAGATTAGTGTAAAAGATTTCGAACATATTAGTGTTTAAGGGTTATATAGATACTGTAAAAGGACCGCTTATATCCATGTCATAAACAAATGAACAAATCCACAATGCGCCGTGACGAGGATTCGAACCTGCGTCCAGGGGCATCCCAGACACTGTGATATATACATCTTGTATCCATCCAATATTATATCTATATCGGTCACGTGACCAAAACATTCTAAATACCAGCTGGAGATGCAATTCTGCCACATTTCCACGTGCAATTTAAAGTAGCATCTATATACCATTCATTGCTTTCAGTCATATTTCACTGCACATGCAAAATATATTGTCGACGGTAACAATATACTTTATATGTGTATAGATGCTGGAGTATTAATGGGAACATGTATGTTATTACTTTGCCTGCACGTGTCGCTTGAGGTACGTTTGGCACCACCGCGTGAGGCGGCGGAAGCTTCACTGTCTCCCAGAGTCAAGTTAGTTGGTCGGTGGATGCGGTAGGGGGTGGACGCGCGTGCTGTTGTCGCAGGTACTTTAACACTTATTAGTATATTTTTCTGTTTAGTCTTGTTTGGTTTAGTGTCAGGTATTTAAGAGTTGAATAACTTTTTATAATTGTTATAAATATCTGGTAGTTTACATCCACTTTTCTTCTCTTAGACAATATGTATAGTTAGTTTTCAGTAATAGGCATATTTTCGGTATAAAAAGTCGTAATTTGAAAATGAAAATAAGTGCAGAGAATCAGAATTCGGCTCAAAATTCACGCTCAGGAGTCAAATTTCTCACATTTCAAATATTTTGAAAACTGCAGGGGGGGGGGGAAATGACCCACCGCCGCTTTCAGTATTTGGCAGATTTTCGGTATAAAAAGTTGGAATTTCAAACTGCGAATAGGTGCAGAGAGCCAAAATTTTTGTTCAAAATATGGCTCAGGTATCGAATTTCGGATGTTTGGGATATTTTGAAAGCTGCAGGGGGGGGGGGGGAGTTTGGGCAAAATGTGACCCACCGCCGCTTTCAGTAATTGGCATATTTTTGGTATAAAAAAGTCGGAAATTCAAACTGCGAATAGGCGCAGAGAGCCAGAATTTGGGTCCAAAATATGGCTCAGGTATCGAATTTGGGATGTTTGGGATATTTTGAAAACTGCAGGGGGGGGGGGGGGGAGTTTGGGCAAAATGTGACCCACCGCCGCTTTCAGTATTTGGCATATTTTTGGTATAAAAAGTCGGAGTTTTCTTAGCATATGTATGCTAAGAAAACTTAGAAAACTCTGAAGTTAGTGATGTCAATTAATTTCACTTTAGTAAGTTATTTATAAATTTCAGAAGTTCTTTAGATGTTAGACTTTGCATCAGTAATTTCCAGCATGATAAAATCTTTGCTAATTTCAGGATAAAGTACAGTATAAAGTTTCATTGGAATATTTATTTAATAGTTTACAGTGTAACATTAATATTGACTATTGTCAATTTCAGGTTGTGGGAAGCTGCTCCTCCTTGATTCAATCCACTGAAGACTCAAAGATCATCAAAAGGCCAGGGAAAACTCCAGAGTACCAAGGACAACATCCACCTGTAAAAGAAAAATAAAGTATAAACAGGGACACTCATTTTATTAACACTAACTCATACAAATTAGTACCAAAACCCCTAAGTCCCAATCTTTTAAGATTGGCTCAGCAAGGCCTACCCCTTACTTCCATTTTTGAGGCAGAACTTGTTGGCTGAAAGAGTGCAAAACATCTTTTGGTTTAGTGCCCTCAACATGATGTACATAGGCTTGTTGTGAAGCCTATGTACATCATGTTCCAGGCACTAAACCTCTGGATGTATCCACTCTTTCAGTGAACAAGCCCTGTAGTGATTAACAATGTTTGCACATTGTTAAGGGTCCCTACACCTATGCAATTCTAGTCCATCTATTGGATGGGTAGTAGAGCAGGGCTCTGAAAAAGTCAAGCCAGGGAAATCTGCAGGACTGCCTGGTCCCCTTCTATGAGATGGGGTAGGATCAGTACAAACTGCATCAATCCCTGCAGGTGGTAACAGTAGGACTTTGGTACACATCTATAAATGGACTAGATGAAAGAAAGTAAAATTAATTAGTTGACATAGCTAAAACACTTAATTCCACATACCAACTTTCGTAGATTTGCAGAGTAGAACAACCACACTGAAGCCAGTCAATGCTTTGATGACATTGTAATCTTACATACCACCTGAAACATTTACCCAAATTAGCTTGTTAAACAAGATTTTACATATGCAGGTTCCTTTAATCTTACAATTAAGATTGTTAGAGTTCTCCTTTAATGCTAATCAAGCAAAAACATTAAACTTAGTTTGACTAACCATAAGTACATTAAAGTCAGTAATATCTCTCAGCAATTTATTTTATCTACATGTAAGCATCATTTCAGATTATCTTCAGCCATAATGATTGTTTAAGTTATAATGTTTACTACTACACTCACCTAATTCAGAATGTCAAGCAATTAACACCTTCAAACTCAGGGCTGAAGTTCGACTTTCCCATCAATATTCTGGAAGACAATATCTATTTAAGCTTCAAATAAATAAACTAAGTTGAAGTACAGTTACCATTCAATATTTAATTTGTGTACTATACCATCATTAAATGATTCTTTAATTTATGAACAGCCTTTTAAGCTACAAACCTAGATTAAATCCAAGGGTCATGAGGATTCAAACCTACATCCAACTGCAGGATCCATGATGTCAGTAGACCTCCCAGTTGGGATTCTTTTACCATGTTGTGGCACAGTCTTAAAGCACATCTGGGATCCTCCGACACAAGTTTGAACCCCTCATCACAGCCCTTGTGCATTAGAAATATCACATTGTGATTTGTGTAATTTATAAATGAATGACTTTTACCCAAATAATTGAGAACCATGCAACCAACTTAACACCAGAAGTTAAGCAAACAAAGATTTAAATAAGACATTTTTCATAAAATCTTTAACTTGCAAATTTATGCAGTTTAACAGTTAGTGCCCAACTTTACATTCACAAATTAAAAGTCCCATTTATTCTATTCAAAGCACAATTCTTGCAAGAATTTACTTTAGGATATAGTACCCACTAGTCAAGGCCTTAAACTAGTTTCTATTTACCCCATTTCCAGGCCCCTTCACAATTTCATTAAATATTTAGGTAAAAATTATGTAAACACATTTTACCTATTAAACTAAATAAACTTACTTTGGCCCTCTAATTCTGACAACTATGCTACTTTCTGTAGCATTTAACACTTCCAGTGATTGTTCTGTAACTGTTCCTGAAGTTATGTTGGAAGGACCTTCTACAACCTGTCAATGGAACATTAAATATGGTTAATAAGGTTTTGCATAGCAATTTCATTTTGTTTAACTTTAAAATATTTGTCATTTTAAAGTTACACTAACAAATTATCTACTTCCCCCCCCCCCCACCAATAAAATGGGGACTAAGCCCCCCATTTTATTGGTTGGGGGGGGGCCCCAACCAATAAAATGGGGACTAAGCAATAGTTAAGGGGCGAGGAAGAAAGGAATGCCGTCTCTTTTCTTACCCACAGGGGGAAGAGGATGGAGAGGAGCCAGGCTTACGTTTCTGACGGACAGGTGTTCCAGTAACATCGTACTGGCCGACTGACTAGGGTCTTAAGTGAAGAATGGGAGTGAACAACATTAAGATTGCTGGGAGGATGATGGACATCAGCCTGGACAGACAGGCGACGTGGAGGGCCAAGAGGTAGTGGGGAGGGACAGGAAGGATCGGGGAAAATGAAATGACTTGGCAGACAGGGTAGGAAAAGGAGGGGGGGTGAATCCAGAAGGAGATTCACGAGATATACCTTCCGACCCAGGACGTAAAGGAACAGGGAAGGTGGTGGGCATGTTCGGGTTCAAGGCCTAGAAATGGTTGTGGGACAAAGGTGGGAAGGACGAGAGGTAGAACAACGTGCGAGCATAAGATACGCCAGTGAAGGGGTGGACACTGCAAACCGTGTCTTGCCTCGGGAAAAGTCAAATGATCCTGGTGTTTCAAGTTAAGGACTACTTCAAGCTTTGAGTCGATACACGTGCGAGAGAATGTAGGGTGGGCCTCGCCGCAATTCAGGTAGCGAGCCCGGGGGATATGAGCAATCAGTCTTAAGAGTGGCTATCGTCCCCACACATGGGGCAGAGAGAAACGAAGACTTGTGCATTTGAGGGCACTGTGCTCGAACTTGCCTAACTTATTACAATGAGTGAGAGGGGGGGGGATGTACTCTTCAACAGGGCACCTGGCACCAGCAAGAATGATAGGTGGCTGAAGGGTCTTACTATCAAAAGTGAGGTTTGTTTTTACAAACCAATGTGTCGATATTACAAGATCATTGAATGTGAAATTATGAAAGATTGTCACCTTGCAGATGTGAAGTGAAACTAATCTGAGAGTTGTGCGTTTACCCCCCCCCCCCCTCTACTTTACGTCACGACAACGACAGCCAGAAAGGGAAGGGGGACCTCATTTAGTACATTTAGTAGAAAACTTACCATCACTAATATCTACAGTATGGGCAATGATAATCTATACAATTGTGTTCTATTAACGTTATTTTTTTCAACTTTTAGCTTATGTACACCTACATTAAGTATCCTAATATACATGAACATTGGTAAAGACTTACTATAATGCCTTGTATACTTTAAGTTTGATGTTGGCGACTATATTACCAACAGGTAATATATGAATTAGATTTTAACTACCTTCAAATACAAACATTTGCTATAATAAATTAATTATAAAATTGAAAACCAATATAATAACCACCCTCCCTGGAAACACAAACCGTAACTGTCTATTTTCCGCTTGTTACAACTTTTAATAAAGTTGTTACATCTTGGCTTAACGTGTTTATGACGTATTAGAACGTTGTTACAACTTGCTATATTGGTTGTTATAACTGGTTAGGAGGTGTTAAGACTTGTTCGAACGTTGTACCAACGTCGTAGTTTCGGTATGTGTTTGGTGGGCTTTCACCAAGTTATGATCATTATTCTAATTAACACAATGTTGTACAATATTATAACTACAATATTTCCCAAAACATTTATTCAACTTGCCGACTTCAATGCAACAGGAATCTATCTTATCAATGTGGAGCGGTGATTATTCCTTCAATCCCATGCACCACACTACAAACTTGCAACCAACCTTTCTAAGTTACAGCCAAGTTGGGAAAAAAACTGCCTTGCATCACCTTGTTGCTCTAACAAGGTAAACTGCCCAGAACACCAATATATTTATAATCTAGTAACAAGTAAATTTGTAGGCAAGACACAGATGGTGCCAAGAACCTTATTAAACATTCCAAAACATTTAAAAAGCTCATTTCAATAAATTTAGAGAAACAACTAAATACCACGATTCATCACTATTTACAATAAGCGACTTCAACTAACCCAGAGTTTAATAAAATTTAATTTCAGTACGTTGCAACAGCCATTTCAGATAATGCGTCTCCACCTGTCAAGAGAAAATATTAATACATTTTAGTATACTTTGTTATTATTAAGCTTACAAATTATGAACTTAGGTTATTTAATATTCATAAAGTGCTCTCAGTATAACAAGTCGCATTAGAAAGTTTATGAAACTTACAATAACATTTGCACACCAAACCAATAGATACAAATTATAATAATTACATAAATTTGACCATGCAAGGGAAAGTTTCAAGAATCTAGTAACATTGCACTGATCAATGTCACATTTACCACTAATCTCACCCCTTAGTCTGACATTTAACATCTGACGGCCATTATGGTGTGTGCAATGAACATTTTAACAACCATTTAATTTTTATTATGCAACATACTAGCTAAAAAAATTACTGAACTACCAATAAGGACAAGTTGTGAACTGCCTTAGTTACCTCATCCCTTGTTGGATTTTACCTCAATAAATTTATTTCAATGAACTTTGATTTTCCTCAGCCAATGGATCACCCAAGACTTGTGTACTTCATTGACAATAGAGTATATTTACTACAGAGACTATTGAGCCTGTATATCGAGTAGAGATTAATATTTACAACGGCCAGTTTTCCATAAGTAAAATAAGATTACCTCTTAAAATAACAGCAGCCTACAGCTTGGGGGTTACATCAAGAAGAGCAATTTGAACGTTTGTCCTTACTACTCCAACAGGTATGGCCACAATCAACTTTCTGGAAATATTCACTCAAATTTTTAACAAAATTGTGGACCATTATTAAAACTGCAGTACCACATTCATTGTGCATCAATGTTAATTGATAATTATACAATTTAGTATTTTAGTAGAATCAATTTTGTTGTCTATGCCAAGATACTAGATTATAAACCTAATCATTGTCATGCCCTTTAAGACTGACAATACGTTAATGCTAAATTACAATAGGCACAACTTACAACCTTTAAAGTATTTTGACAAGGAAATATCTATGGGTTTGACAACTCTCCCAAGGGAGATACAAGCCTATGCTACACTTTAATTTCATTTTCTTTTAAATAAAAGTTATATTACCTAATTATTTACAACTTCCCAAGACCGAAGCTGGAAGATTCACCTCATGCTGTCAATCTTAGGAAACAGATGCAAAGACTCGCAATATAAAAAGTAGCATTGGCATAATTAATAAAACTACATTTCACAATAGTAAAGACTGACTGACTACACAAATCTCCGTGGAACTACCAAACTGATTAATTTTATCTAAATTTAATGGAACAATTGCCTACTTTTGTAAGTACACTTTGCTCGTTATTTTTTGGTATCTAAAGTAGGATTCAGTCACCATTTCCATTAAATATTTAAAGTGTTGGTTCCCCCAAAATTATATAAACAAGGCTATCATGCAAATTTATTTTGCAAATTAAGCTCCTAATATAGGAGCTCCAGTAACTCTGGATACATGGATTTTTTAAAGCTTTCCAAACCTACCACACTACTGGTAAGTTAAAGCACATTTAATAACTTTCAATGGATAAAAACCAATAGTTTAAAAATAGTGAAAAGGTCTTACAAATTACTAAACGTCGCAGACCCATATATTCTATTTTTTGGGCTGACTTAAGGATGTTAATTCATGTTAAAGTGAAGGGTATGAAGCCCATACAAAAACGGTCATCAACACGTGTAATTTGAAGACAAGCTAATTTAAAACTAAAGCTTAACATGTGCAGCATAATATAAATGCTAAAAATATTACCTTGCCGTAGATCACGAGGAGGACTAAGTCACAATCACCAATCAAAATTGCACGAGTGGAAGCTTCAGTGAGAAAAACCAACACCCTGAAAATAAAAGTTTACACTTTAGAAAGCAGTTATACAACACTCATTTGCCCAACTAATTATATGCCCATTGAGGTACCATACAAAAGCTCTTATAAGTAACATACATATGCCCAAAAAGGTACCATACTTATGCCCTTATAAGAACAATACATATGTTCTTATAAGTATCATACATATACCCTTATAACTACCATACATATGCCCTTATAAGTACCATAAATGCCCATATAAGTACCATTCATATGCCAATATAGGTACCATACAAATGCCTGTATAAGTAGCATACATATGCCCATATACGCACCATGCATAGTAGTCTCTAAATACATGAGGAATATTGATATAATGTTATTTTGATTATCCATTTATTATTTAGCTCATTTTGATTATTATTACATTTTTTAAAATTCATTTTCCTTAGTAATTTGTTGAGAAAACACGATGATAGGTTTGACATTTGAGGTGGCTGTATCTCAGTAAATATGGCTGTATAGGCGTTAATATTTAAAATTAGCAAAGAAAGCCTTTAGAGAAAGAAAGGTAAATTGCTGTGGTAAACACAATGGTACCATTTTCAAAACGATTCTATGGCTGGTTTTGATTTTGAGTTTTGTGAAAAATGACGAAAAATCTGTTTTGTGAAAAATCGTCATTTTTCACAAAACTCAAAATCAAAACCAGCCATAGAATCGTTTTGAAAATGGTACCATTGTGTTTACCACAGCAATTTACCTTTCTTTTTGTAAAGGCTTTCTTTGCTAATTTTAAATATTAACGCCTATACAGCCATATTTACTGAGATACAGCCACCTCAAATGTCAAACCTATCATCGTGTTTTCTCAACAAATTACTAAGGAAAATGAATTTTAAAAAATGTAATAATAATCAAAATGAGCTAAATAATAAATGGATAATCAAAATAACATTATATCAATATTCCTCATGTATTTAGAGACTACTATGCATGGTGCGTATATGGGCATATGTATGCTACTTATACAGGCATTTGTATGGTACCTATATTGGCATATGAATGGTACTTATATGGGCATTTATGGTACTTATAAGGGCATATGTATGGTAGTTATAAGGGTATATGTATGATACTTATAAGAACATATGTATTGTTCTTATAAGGGCATAAGTATGGTACCTTTTTGGGCATATGTATGTTACTTATAAGAGCTTCTGTATGGTACCTCAATGAGCATATGTATTGTTCTTATATGGGCATATGTATGACACTTATATGGGATTGAGTATGGTACCTTTATGGGTATGTGTTTGGTACTTATGTACCTCTATGGTACTTACGTACCTTTTACCTTACACAGACAGTCATCCGTATTTTATAGATATAGAAGATAGACAATGATTAAATCAAGTAATAAAAACTTGACCAGTGGACGAAGACCTGTACATGGGGTACATACAGCCCGCCGCCTGCAAAGAATCCGAGCTCTGGCGAAATCGTCATTTTTCACAAAACTCAAAATCAAAACCAGCCATAGAATCGTTTTGAAAATGGTACCATTGTGTTTACCACAGCAATTTACCTTTCTTTCTGTAAAGGCTTTCTTTGCTAATTTTAAATATTAACGCCTATACAGCCATATTTACTGAGATACAGCCACCTCAAATGTCAAACCTATCATCGTGTTTTCTCAACAAATTACTAAGGAAAATGAATTTTAAAAAATGTAATAATAATCAAAATGAGCTAAATAATAAATGGATAATCAAAATAACATTATATCAATATTCCTCATGTATTTAGAGACTACTATGCATGGTGCGTATATGGGCATATGTATGCTACTTATACAGGCATTTGTATGGTACCTATATTGGCATATGAATGGTACTTATATGGGCATTTATGGTACTTATAAGGGCATATGTATGGTAGTTATAAGGGTATATGTATGATACTTATAAGAACATATGTATTGTTCTTATAAGGGCATAAGTATGGTACCTTTTTGGGCATATGTATGTTACTTATAAGAGCTTCTGTATGGTACCTCAATGGGCATATGTATTGTTCTTATATGGGCATATGTATGACACTTATATGGGATTGAGTATGGTACCTTTATGGGTATGTGTTTGGTACTTATGTACCTCTATGGTACTTACGTACCTTTTACCTTACACAGACAGTCATCCGTATTTTATAGATATAGAAGATAGACAATGATTAAATCAAGTAATAAAAACTTGACCAGTGGACGAAGACCTGTACATGGGGTACATACAGCCCGCCGCCTGCAAAGAATCCGAGCTCTGGCGAAATCGTCATTTTTCACAAAACTCAAAATCAAAACCAGCCATAGAATCGTTTTGAAAATGGTACCATTGTGTTTACCACAGCAATTTACCTTTCTTTCTGTAAAGGCTTTCTTTGCTAATTTTAAATATTAACGCCTATACAGCCATATTTACTGAGATACAGCCACCTCAAATGTCAAACCTATCATCGTGTTTTCTCAACAAATTACTAAGGAAAATGAATTTTAAAAAATGTAATAATAATCAAAATGAGCTAAATAATAAATGGATAATCAAAATAACATTATATCAATATTCCTCATGTATTTAGAGACTACTATGCATGGTGCGTATATGGGCATATGTATGCTACTTATACAGGCATTTGTATGGTACCTATATTGGCATATGAATGGTACTTATATGGGCATTTATGGTACTTATAAGGGCATATGTATGGTAGTTATAAGGGTATATGTATGATACTTATAAGAACATATGTATTGTTCTTATAAGGGCATAAGTATGGTACCTTTTTGGGCATATGTATGTTACTTATAAGAGCTTTTGTATGGTACCTCAATGGGCATATGTATTGTTCTTATATGGGCATATGTATGACACTTATATGGGATTGAGTATGGTACCTTTATGGGTATGTGTTTGGTACTTATGTACCTCTATGGTACTTACGTACCTTTTACCTTACACAGACAGTCATCCGTATTTTATAGATATAGAAGATAGACAATGATTAAATCAAGTAATAAAAACTTGACCAGTGGACGAAGACCTGTACATGGGGTACATACAGCCCGCCGCCTGCAAAGAATCCGAGCTCTGGCGAAATCGTCATTTTTCACAAAACTCAAAATCAAAACCAGCCATAGAATCGTTTTGAAAATGGTACCATTGTGTTTACCACAGCAATTTACCTTTCTTTCTGTAAAGGCTTTCTTTGCTAATTTTAAATATTAACGCATATACAGCCATATTTACTGAGATACAGCCACCTCAAATGTCAAACCTATCATCGTGTTTTCTCAACAAATTACTAAGGAAAATGAATTTTAAAAAATGTAATAATAATCAAAATGAGCTAAATAATAAATGGATAATCAAAATAACATTATATCAATATTCCTCATGTATTTAGAGACTACTATGCATGGTGCGTATATGGGCATATGTATGCTACTTATACAGGCATTTGTATGGTACCTATATTGGCATATGAATGGTACTTATATGGGCATTTATGGTACTTATAAGGGCATATGTATGGTAGTTATAAGGGTATATGTATGATACTTATAAGAACATATGTATTGTTCTTATAAGGGCATAAGTATGGTACCTTTTTGGGCATATGTATGTTACTTATAAGAGCTTTTGTATGGTACCTCAATGGGCATATGTATTGTTCTTATATGGGCATATGTATGACACTTATATGGGATTGAGTATGGTACCTTTATGGGTATGTGTTTGGTACTTATGTACCTCTATGGTACTTACGTACCTTTTACCTTACACAGACAGTCATCCGTATTTTATAGATATAGAAGATAGACAATGATTAAATCAAGTAATAAAAACTTGACCAGTGGACGAAGACCTGTACATGGGGTACATACAGCCCGCCGCCTGCAAAGAATCCGAGCTCTGGCGAAATCGTCATTTTTCACAAAACTCAAAATCAAAACCAGCCATAGAATCGTTTTGAAAATGGTACCATTGTGTTTACCACAGCAATTTACCTTTCTTTCTGTAAAGGCTTTCTTTGCTAATTTTAAATATTAACGCCTATACAGCCATATTTACTGAGATACAGCCACCTCAAATGTCAAACCTATCATCGTGTTTTCTCAACAAATTACTAAGGAAAATGAATTTTAAAAAATGTAATAATAATCAAAATGAGCTAAATAATAAATGGAT